TTCGATGTATTACTGTATGAATCCCATTGCAGGATTTTGCCATATACTTCTATTTTCTGCGATGCTTATCCACCTTGATTCGGCGCACATCATTTAATCATGCCTTCGATCTAGAGGTCTTCTTACGCGGCGTTTAGAATAAATTACTTGGGCTGAGAGAGAGCTATTCCGGAGAAACCTCTGAAGAACTGGATTACTGAACACATGACCTGTGTCAGAAATACGGATAACAAGATACGAGATTTGTCACTGCTGAGCACAGCAAACCGAAAAACGACGTCATGCAAAAGGACAGAAACAGCATCGTCGTCAGGAAAGCCAACTTCACGAAACGAAAAGATTTTGAAAGCAATAAAGGTGGAACTGTCAAAATGCAAGATCAGCAGGTCCCGTCTATCGCAACAGACTCATCACCATGCAGACCCGCAGCGAGGAAAGCGACGACCATGATACCGAAATAGAGCTAGTCATTTAAAAATAAACGTAAAAACATACACCAGGTTCGACTCTACTCTCCGGTGGTTGACCAGTTGGAAATGCAAGTTCGTCGCGGATCTTGCTCCAGATAAAACTGGTTGCGCACTCCCCGAATCCTACCTAAATCATTAAAATAATTAAATGAAAAATCAGTTTAACGAAAGAATTTTTGCAAACTTTACTCGAAAACTAGTTTTCAGATGCCCTTGCCAACAGTTTTATGTGTCATTGCAATCTACAGTAATTGTTAATTCCCTCCAATGGAATCGAAGTGAGAGGACGCAACGGACAATACGTCTTTTAAAGCTATTCAGTACGAAATATATCCTATCTCCCAGAATACCTACGGATAGTGCATCTCATTAATTTCACTTGTGGCGATACATACATCGGAGTAAAGCAAAAACAAGATTGAGTAACATGTGGTTTACTCACTCCGAGCTGACAGTAGACGATCAGAGCAGAAAAACATGGCATCTCTGAAAACTTTTTTATTAAGCAAAAGTCCTACAAGATTTCTCGAAAAGGGGAAAATTAGTGTTAAAGAAATACATCTACAAATAAAGCTGTGGAACAAATCAGCAGCTGAATGAACAGAAGACATAAACAGACATACAGATTAACCCTCGCTGTCACACCATTAGCGATTTAAGACTAAATCTTCTGTATTATTGATTCATTCCCATGTGTTGTGCTTTCATTTTTTTAATTTTCCATTACCGGCTATCTTTCCCGCGTAGACACATGCGGCGAACAGTGCTTCCAACAGTTCCGATCCAGTACCGAGTCTGCGCATCGGCAAGAGACAAACTAAGTCTATAACAGACTCCTTCGGTATATTTGCATCAGAATAATCTTGGTCGTCCCCTGAAGTTGCTTCTCCTTTCTGAAGGCATTCGCGACACATCCCCAAATCATAGCCATGATTTCTCAGCCTGTGTGATTTCTCAACACTCCCGAGAATTTCTGTACTCCGACCCATTATGAGACGCGTGAGACTAGCGACTTGCCCCAGAAAGCCCAGTTCAGCTGTTTGCAGGTGGGATCGAAATTTTTCAGTCATGGTCTACGACGCATGACTTTAGGCCTGCATGGGATGAATATCAACCTGAGCCCCAAGAACTTAGTCTTCAAACCCAACTCGGCTTAACTTTCAACGGTTCGGTCCAGTTCGTGCAAAACACCACTGGCTAACCAAATCGGCCAATCGGTCTCTCCTTCAAATTTTCCATCAAGGACTAGATGCGTACCGGAGGAATTTGAACATCTCCAGCTACTCTATTCATTTTTCGTTGATCTGATAAGAACAACGGATAAGAGAAAGCACTAGGCTTTACTTTACGTTACGTTCAAAAATACACTTTGTTTGCCATCTGGAGATTCGACTCAAATACCGCATCGAACTTATCCCAGGAATCAGCGTTGCCTTTCGCCACTGCTTTCGCTGCCGCCTAAGGTGCTTTCACATATCGCAGACAAGTAGAAGGCAAAAATTGCTTCCAAGCGGTTTCTTGCATGTAGCCTTCTTCTCTTTGACTGCCAGTTAGAGCATTCGTGTCCACCATAAAATTCTTTTCTGTGCTCCAGACGGCAGGCCAATCCATTTGAATCCGCAGCATTTAGCGACAGCCTGGAGTATGCCATTCCAAAACAGCTTTCAATCGGATTCCACATCAGTGGTCAACTCCAGGATGCTTCAAACCGACGTGCGAAGTTGTTTGCAAGTTTCGCTCTCGTGTCCATCGATGATAATGATTTTCATTTCATTCTTAGGTTGGTCTTGACACCTGACCTTCGCATTCTGCTCCATCTCTCACAACGTAGGGTGCCAATAATAAGCTGGTGAACACGTAACAGTTCTGTACCTTTCTTAGCGCGAACATCCATTACATCGCGTCTTAAGCCAGAAGATACGATTATCAAATCGATAGACGACTTCCATGCCCAAACTTCCTTGTACAAGACATTCTGTTGCACGCATCGGTGCTCGAACAAGGTGTTTATAATGGACCGTGTTGTTTGCAAAATACCTCAACAACTTCATGCTGTTACTGTTGGGCCGGCGGATGGTCTGCCAGAATACTTTGTTTGCCGTGTGGAAATTGGACTCCAACACCTCACTAAATTTTGCTCTCGTGTCCACCGAAGAAAATGTTTCCTACTTGATTCTCCCGTTGCTTGTGCCACCAGTTCTTCGTATATTACTCCGTTTCCAGCGTAGAGTGCCAACAACAAGTGATGATCGGTTGGGAGCTCTGCGCCTCTCTTAACGCGAACATCCATTACTGATGGTCTAAGTCAGACGATGCGATTATCAAATCGATCATCGACTTCTGTGCCCAAGCTTCCCGGTACCAGGTGTACTGATGCACTTTTCG